TTTTTAAAATACTGATTTCAGAGCAGAAGGAAGAGGGAGAGGGAGATAGAAACATCAGTGATAAGAGAGAATCATTCATTGGCTGCCTCCTGCATGCCCCCTACTGGGGATCGAGCCACAACCCGGGCATGTGCGCTGACTGGGGAATTGAACCATGACCTCCTGGTTCATAGGTCAGTGCTCAACCACTGAGCCACACCAGCCGGGCCTGGTTTGAATTTTTTAAAAGTGAGGCATATAAAATTCCATTTGGAAAAATGAACATTGAATAATCTTAAACAGAAGAAATGCATTTTAAACAGATCCCGCCTCATCCCTGTGAACTGCCCAGCTGTGCCTGGGGGGCTCTCCCTCCCCCACCCGCCCCTCCCGCTGCACGGTGTCTGCCTCCCTGTCCTGCTTGTAGTGAGGGGCTGGGAGGCTTTCTGAGGACGCCCTCAGGCTTCCGGTGACGGGCTGGGAGCCTGTATGTGGACGGGCAGGCCCGGGGGCAGCGTGTGCAGAAAGCCGTCGCGTGGAGGTCGGAGGTCTCTGGGGAATCAGACGCCTGCCCCCCGACACGGGAGCCCCGAGCCCTCAGCCTGCCCTTTGCTAAGAGGCTCCCTCCCTGGGCAACAGGTGAGGCGCGGTGTCCCTCTAGGAGCAGCCGACCGTCTGGTGTGGTTCAGTCCGTCGAGGGCGGGAGGAGGTCAGTGGGAGACAGACACGGTGACCAAGCAAATAAATTACAAGTGTGGAGTGCCACGTGACTGTGAGTAAGTTATTTCCATGGTTGGGGTTTTTGTCGTAATAACTGTCTGGACGAGCCGAGGTCATCATGACCCGGCTCCCGTCACCTGTGTGATCGAGGTGTGAAGCCCTTGCTTCCCCCCACTGTGGCCTGTCTGACAGCCGAGGGGGCCCTGCGGGGAGTTGGGGCGCGAGAGCCACGTGGGCATGGCCTCCTGTGAGGAGGGAGGTGGGAGCGATGGTCGCCCCCATGGCCTGGGGTTCTGCCCTCAGAATTTGTTTTGCCTCCAGAGATGTTAACGCTCCCTGGGGTTCCGGATGCACCAGGGGGAGCGCATGGACCCAGTTTAACCGCCTCCCTGGACACTGAGGCCAGGGCCGCTCTCCTCGCTGTATGGTCCTACCTCTCAGACTGAAGTCGGCCCCTGTGGTGCCCACAAACTCACATTGGTCTCTGGGCTAAACTGCTGCCCAGGTTACCCCACAAGGGGATCAGCCATGACGAGCTGGCACTGCTGGTCCCATGGTCACCCTGTCCTGGCCTCACTGGTCAGCAGGGCCAGCAGTGAGCCCAGAGTCCTGCCATGCCAGCCCTCTCTCCCAGGTGCTCTGCCCACCAGGCCAAGAAGAGATGCCCTTCTCTCCAGACACTGATGGAGGTGCCCTGAGCCCCGCTCCCACCTCCCGTTCACTCTCCTGGGTTCCCAGGATGCTGTCCATCGGGACGATGGCAGAGCTCAGACCAGGCCGTGGGCTGTTTGCTCCCAGTCATCAGTGTGGGTGGGTGGTCAGTGTGGGTGGGTGGTCAGTGAGGTGGTGGGTCACGCTCCTGCCCCCAAAATGTTGCCAGTGACAGTTTTGTGCGAAATGACACTAGAGGACGGGCCCTGGGTCCTGCCTCGCCGCGTCCTCTCTCCAGCGCACGCGTTCCTGCTGGTCCCTCTGCTCCTCCCAGGGGCTCCTTACCGTCCGTGCGGTGGGTTTATTCTGCCTCCACTGTGAGGGGCGCGGGGCCGGGACGGGACTTGACTCCCAGAGGCACCGTTAGCCCTGACGATGCGGATTCATTGGGTGAGTGTGCTCCCAGGTGCACAGCCTTGTCCCGGCTGACGATGCCCTCGGTCGGGCCGAGTGGAGCAAGAACAAGGTTCCAGAAGGATCTGCGCTTCAGGGAGGTAGCCTTCCCTGTGGGTGCTGCCTGGGAACCACACGGCCTCAATGTGCTTACGGCCGGGAGGAGGGGCAGGTGTCATTGTCAGGCAGACGGGACCTGAGGACTCGCTCTGAGGACCAGACACAGACGCTTCCCCTTGATGACGTGGCACCTGATGCTGTTGTTTTGAGTCTGTCGGCCTCTCACTGGCGTCTGTGGGCTCATAAGGGGCAGGACATTGTGGTCCAAGACCAGGTATTGTCCGTCATTACAATACGCAGAGCTTTCTTGTTGGCTGTACCTGGTGATAAGGAGTCTGCCTGGCACTGGACTTCGTGTGTGAGGCACGTTGTGGGTGGAAAGTGCTTGGTGAGGGTTGGCGCCTGCCCTGAGCCTTCCTTCCATGGCGGGCTTTCCGAGGACGGGAGCAAGGGGAGAGGCTGCTGCGTGGCTTGGGAGGGCCTGGCAGGGGGCAGGGGGCAGAGGGCTCACTGTGCTACCACCACAGGCAGGCCCTCGAGGCAGCGAACAAGCCCCTGTTTACGCAGCAAGGGCAGCCCCGCGTCCGTCTCCGTGGTGCCCGGTGACGGTTTCTTGGTAACGGCCAGTGGTGGTCCTTCCCAAGCTCTGCATCTCAGAGAAAACGCTGCTATTTCCTCTCACGAGAAAGGGAAACACGTCGCCCAATTTAAAGGAACAGTTAGGGTGGGGAGGGGCTAGTTTTGTAGTTGGCCAGTGCGTCAGCAAAGGTGACCCGGGAGTTAGTTATGCCTAGAGGTGTACACGCGTGGAAGGAGCAGGGTCCCAGGTAAGCTCAGGCACAAGGCCTTTTGGGGTGACCCTGCCCCTGACTGGGACTGTGGGGGGGGGGTGGCAGAGCTAGGACAGCCCCCCGATCCGGTCGTTTGAGGGGAAGGCAGGTCAGGGTGCATCTCCAGTGGAGGAAACGAGTGTCAGTCAGAAACCCCGTAGCTGCATGTCAGTAATGGCCCAGCATCGAGCACCCCTGTGCCTCTGCTTCCTACTCTCATGTTCCCATTTCATAGACGAGGAAACTGAGGCTCCAGGATGAAGGCATTGGCTAAGCTCCAAAGCCTCCAACCCCAGGACTGACAAGCATGGCTGACGGGCACGTGCGCTCCTTGTGGAAATGCCCTGCCCTTTGGATGAGGCCACGCGGCCTGGCAGGAGGGGTGTGATCTGCTGGGCGTCGGCCTGTCCCTCTGGGGCTTCAGACCAGCCTGGGCGAGGACTGGGAGCAGCCGCGCCTCAGCTGTGGCCTGGACACTTCAGAGTCACAGCCGCGAGCTGTTGTCCTAGGGTCCCGTGAGCCGCGCCCCAAGTTGCAGGGCTGCACAGACAAGCCCCGGGGACTGGCGAGTCGGCGCCTGTAAAATTAGCTCCCGTCCCTCAGGCCCCTCCGCACCTTTGCAGGCAAAACCAGTGTCTCCCGGAGCCTGGCCTCCGGTCTGGTTGACCCTTGGGCATCGGGCAGCATTGCCGACTTGGACGTTCCTTGTGAGTCATGGCAGAGCTCGTTCTCACACACCCACAAGTCAGGCAGCTCAGCGATGGAGGAGGGGGTGTGGGACGAGCATTTTAGGAAGCACAGGAACATCACAGATGAGAAAGTTGATGGCGCCCTTGAATAGTTTGCAGAAATGAGCTTTCTGAGTGTCTCCTTTTATATTTTTTTGTTCTTTAGAACAAAGTTGAACGTATTTATCATGGCATGCTCTCATCTAAGTTGTGTCAAGTGTAACACAGCATAGAATTATCCCTCTGGTTTTGGTCCTGTTTTTTCCAAGGTGAAGAGAGACCCATTCAGACTCTTCCCATCCCCTCAGCCAGACCACTTCCTGGGAAATGATGTCCTCGTGCAGGTGGATTCGCTGTGACGTTCCGGCCGCCCCACCCCATCCCCACCCCCATCCCCATCCCCATCCCCATCCCTATTCATGTGGGAGGCAACCAATTGATGTGTTTCTCACATTGATGTTTTTTTTCTCTCTCTCTTTCTCTCCCCACTTCTCTCCTCCCTTCCACTCTCTGAAA